TAAACACACATCGGGTTCATAGTTTTCATACGTAGGCGCACTCGATTTGTGTTTACGTGAAGACGCGTGTGCTCGCGGGGGACTTTAAAAAAAATTATTAATATTTTTTGATTTATTTAATTTAATTTTAAAAACTGTTACTTTTTTTTTTTTTTTACTTTACTTGCTATCACATAGGGGGACTTACAAGCCCCCCATGTGATAGCAGATGGTGGTGACAGGTCCTCTTTAAGGTGATTCTGGGGGTTCAAAAGACCCCTAGTGTCACCTTTACACACCAAATAAGCTATTGGGGTGCAGATTGCTCTGCAATAGCTTATAGCTGGGCTTCAGGAGCCGACCAATGACAGCTCAGGGACCGGAAGTGATGGAATCTGCATCGCTCCCGGTCCCATAATACAAGGAGGGGATCGGTGAACGGAGGTTCGTCCATCTCCTCCCCGGCTTCCCGCCGACACCAAAGAATCCGCTCCCGGGCCCATAGGAGGGGCAACGGAGCCCAGGAAACACGGCAGGGGTGTCGGGCGGGACACACACACACCCCTTCACCGTGCTGTAGAAGTGATCTGGCAACGGCTGAGTCGCCAGAATCGCTTCTAATCTACGTCGTTGGCCGTGAAGGGGTTAAACAACAACAACTGGGCGGAGCCGCCCAATCGTTTTTTTTGTTTTTTTTGCCCAGGACCTGCTAGAAGACTCTGGCAGGTGTCGGCCAAAAGTAAACAGTTGGGCGGCGGTAGCAGTGATGTCACCGCTAGCTCCACCCAATTGTTTATATTTTGCCGAGATCTGTAAGATTCTTCATTGTGCGGCGGGAGGCGGTCGCGTGCGGTAGCGTGCGGTCGGGTCGCGTGCGTAGTTTAAAAAAAAAGTAATTTTTTTATTTTGCCGAGTCGTCATCGACAACGATGAACGTCGGATTGACCCGAGGATTACGTCGGGGAGGGGGGCGAATCTGATATCCTGATGTGAATAAGCCCCCCCTGCCCGCACCCCCACAACCAATGCCCCAGGGCTTGTGTGGAAGAGGCCCTTGTCCCTAGAAAACCACCTTTCTATTACCGAGGGCATGTGACCTGCTGTGGGAGGGAAGGGGCTCGCTTACCCCTCCCCCCTTTCCTGCCCTGCCAGGCCTGTGCTCGGTTCAAGAGTCTGGTATAGAATTTTAGGGGGG